TTGTCCCCCAGAAAATGCACTTAGACTGAAGGAAGCCATTGGTGGCAATATCTTTGTCTTTAGACTGGCACACTTTCTGTGATTCTGATACTTCTCCAGCTTTGGTAGCTGGACTTTGTCATCAGTTAGAAACTTCCCAGTCTGGCTGAAAGACTAGCCTCATACATAGTGCTAAACTGAGACAAAACACACAGTTATTGGTTATTATCCTATATAGCATTAGGCAACATTTGTTGTTGCATAATAGCAGCAGCAACATTTTGGGGTACATGAAGTTTAAGGAAAAACAGTGGAAATTATTTGTGGTTGTGTGCAGCAGGTATGATAGCAATGGCTAATACCACAGAAAAGGGAGAATGAAACAAAGGAAACCTATTGGCTTTCTTTCTGTGAAGAAATAAAAGAAGAAAAATTCCCTTGATTTTCTAGGTCTTCTATGCATATGAGACTACAAATTCTTGGAATTGTCTGTGTTCTAAATTCTGTGCGTGTGTGTTTAATTGGTTTTATCCTATTTTCCCATAGCTTTGCTGTTAGTAGAGTCTGTTAAAGAACCTGAACTGCTGACATTAAAATTTGGACATGCTTTTTTTTTTTTTACACTTACTCTTTCGAGAGATGAGTGAAAGTAATCACAAATTATTTTGTGTGTATGACCTTTATAAATCAACTGCCAATCTCTGCAGTTTTCATTTGCTTTTCAGCTCCCAGTGGTGCAGAATTGTAACAGATGGAATGAAATGTAATTTGCAGATTTTAGAATATTGTAGGAAGCCACTGAAGTTAGTAAACTCCATATAGTGTAGAGTTTTAGCTAAAAGATGTTTTGAAAGAGAGTTAAAAAGCAAAACACAGATGATTCAGATTTAATTAAAGCATTCTTTATGCTCTAAAATATGAAGTTTCAAAATCTGGAAAGGAATGTTATATTCTTTATTCTGTTAATATGTAGATCAAGACAGAAAAAGAGTAATAGGATTTTTTTTGTATTATTTGTATTGTTATTTGTAAGCAACATTTTATTTGATTTTATCATAAAAATACTGAGAATAAATGTCAAAATACATTAAATATTAAAAAGACAGATGATGATATGATAGCCATGTGATCATTGCGGAATATTAGAGTGGAGGAGATTTTGTGTGTGGAGAGATAATGCTTATATCAAAAACATGATTATGATGAATTGTTGACAAGTGAAGCAGTAGCAAAAATGATGTGTTAGAAAGTAAATAATTGAAATTTCTAAGAAGTTGGCCAAAACTTGATTGTCAGTCTGGAAGGGGGGGGGGAAACCCCTCCAAAAATATTCTAAAGGGTTGAACAGATTTTCATTGCTATGGTTTGTGGTACAGAACCAAAGCAAGATTTTTAGATGAATGAAATATTCACCACTGACACAAAGTTAGCTACAATGCTTCACTCTAGCAGAGAAATACGATGAAGCCTTCAGTAAACTGTTTAATGTATTCCACGTTTCAAACCTCTTCCAACCTCTTCTATGATTGTCTGTGTAGAATTCCCTTTAGAATTAATCCCATGAATGTATCTGTGTAGAAAAGGAACCTTGGGAACTGGAATTCACATTTGCAATACAGGATATTCTTGTTGTTTTTACATGTCTTCCTTCAAGGAAATCATACTATTCACTTTTGTTTATTTTCTCTATGAGTCTGAGATACCACTTCAGATATGTGAAATTACCTGATAGTAGTTAAGAGTAATAGTTAATGCTAGGGGCTTTCAGTTGAGTCTGAAATTGGTGCCAGTACATGAATTCATCTGCATCAGCAGTAGTGCATGTACTGTCAGGGTTAAAAAGCTATATCCTCTGTTTAGTCTCCAGGTCAGAGTGTTTTAGATTAGAATATGTTTTTAGGTTCTAGAATTATTTCATTCTCTAGAGGTAGTCTGTTGGCTTCACTAGACCTAGGAGGCTATAAAAGTTTTGATGAGGCTTGCTCATTTGTTATTCCCACCTCTTGACCAGGATACCCAAGACATTTTCTTGCCTAAGGTAGAACAGCAAAGGATCACATAACCATGTCCCAGGGTCCACACTGTGGTCAAAAATCATCTAGTGAATTCATGTTGAACTCCTGTTCCTGTTCAGCTGGCCATTAAACTACACTGACATTGATAGGTCCCAGAAACATCCTTGTAAATAAAGATGATTTTTTTTTACTGGTTTGGAATTTTCATATACATTTAGACCATAATTTCTGGTGTTATTTTTGTCAAAGCCTTGATCTTGTGTGTTAAAACTATTCTGTTACATCTGTGATTATGTGAAACAATGGATGACCCAATTTTCTTTTCTTTTGCCATCTGTTCAGTATATTGAAACTGTTGGGATGAACTGATTTAGAAGCTAGAGGATGTTTTTTAAAATGTATTTTTCCTGACTTGGATATAAATGATATCAGATCGATATCTAGATCTCAGACATAAGGCTGTCCTTGAAGATGGTTAAGCACTCTGTTGTTATTCTTCTTTAAATGACTAACCTGGACTAAGAGATGGAGCAAGAGGTATTTTGCAAAATTAAACCTGTTTCACCTGAACGTGTTTTAACTAGTTAATAAGAAATATCAAAACAAACAAACAAACAAAAAAGGCAAAAGGCAAAGGCAAAACCCTAAGGTCAATGAGCATTCTTTCTGTAAAGCTAGTATTTGTTGTTTAAATTTGTTTTTGGGGGTCTGTCTATAACATAAGTTTTAATAACCTAGTTCAAATGCAGATTTCTAATTTTCAATTAACATAGGAATAATTTTGTTTGCTAAAATAAAATAAATGAGTGACAAGTCTGAACCTTGAAATGTTCTAGATAGAGCTTTTTAAAAAATTCCAAATTTTTTCAAAAAAAATAATCATGTGGCAACTGTATAGCTCAAGCTTTAAGTATTAACTTTTAACCTTTGACCTTACAGATTTTAACCAATGAAATGTCTCTTTAAACTTTAAAGGAAACAATGATAACGAGCGCCTGGCGATTGCTAGACAGCGAATTCCATATCGGCTTGGTCGAGTAGTTGATGAATGGCTACTCGACAAAGGTAAAAACATTGATTAAAACTTCAAATAAAAAAATAATTTGAACATAACCAAGTAGTGCTTCATTGTAACACCAATAAACATAAAACAATAAATTTTTCAGTAAAACTAAATTAAAAACAAATTTTAAACAGTTAAATGTAGAGTAAATATTTGCATACCATGTATATAATAATTTCTATACATTTTAGTGGTACCGCCTGTTTAATAATCATACCCTGTTAACTTAAGGTTAAAGGGACTGTTAAATATAATCCACTAAATCTATGAAGGTATTCATAGCAAATATTAACCAAAACTGATAAATTATTCACAGATTATGTTACGTATTCCTTCAGCTAAATTATTAACTAAATATCTATATATGTATGTAGTTATGAGATCTTCATTACGTTCCTGAAACAAACAAAAATCATTTTTTAAACTGTAGGTTATCTTAAATAGTGGGCTGTATCATTGCCAAACAAGATGAAGTCCCTTTAACGTTTGCTACCTTCTAAGGAGATTTTGGAACAAACCCTAATTAAAAAAGAGCTTAAAGTTGTGTGCATGCTGTTATTATGAGCAGAATCCAATCTGCAAAAGAGAATATTATGTTTATGAATACTCCTAATGATAATGGGTTTGCACTGGTGAGGATTTCTGTTAAAAATAGCAATGTGACATGACTCTTCATTGATATGTGTATCATTCTTTGAAATTGTTTTTACATCAAAAACATTTTTATTTTGTTGCTTTTTTCCTTAGTTGATGGCCTTGCTGAAAGATAATCAGACATTTCTCTTTCTCTCTTTTTCTTTAGCATTTTTGTTTGTTTCTGAAATGCTCAATATAGAATATGTATCCCATGCCTTCTCAGCGTGTATGCATATGTGTATGCCTGTCTTAAAGGAATAACAACATTCATATATGAAGTCTTTCTATTAGAAATATATAAGGAGATATTCTTACTAACATATTTTAAAAGTAGGTAGCTTTACAATAGCATACTAGGTAGGTAGGTAGGTAGGTAGGTAGGTAGGTAGGTAGGTAGATAGATAGATAGATAGATAGATAGATAGATAGATAGATAGATAGATAGATAGATAGATAGATAGATAACCTATGCCTGAATGTAATTCTTTAAGGTTAGCCTTTATTAGACATCATGTTAGTTTCCATATTATGTAGCTTTACATAGAGAAATGATTGTATGAAAGAAATATTATATGCTTATATTGTGCAATCCTTGAATATTGCACATTATGTATGATAGCCCTGCTGATCAAAAATCTGACCCCACAGGTACATATCATGCCATACTTAAGTTAAAGAAAACCATTTGGAAAAATGTGTGAAAGGAAATTGTGGGGGGAAAAGTCAATGAAGTGACAATATTAACAAAATTCTCAGTTGGCCTTTTTATCATCTCGCACGCACCAAAACAGAGCTAAGCAGTTACACATATAAAATAGTTCTGCATTCCATGACACCTCATTAAAAAGCAATGAATTATGAACAAACTTCCTTTCTTATACTTTATTACTCTCATACTCCACCCCATAATCTGTTAAAATCATCCTCTTTAAGAGTGTGGTGTTCACAATCAACATTTTTTGCATGTATGTAATATTATTTTCACAGGGCGTCAGCTCACAATCTTCAATAGCCAAGCAACGATAAAAATTGGAGGCAAGGAGCGAGGTCATCCATTTCAGGGTCAGCTTTCTGGACTCTACTACAATGGTTTGAAAGTCCTGAACATGGCTGCCGAGAATGACGCCAACATAGTGATAGAAGGGAATGTGAGACTTGTTGGTGAAGTGCCTTCCTCTATGACAACTGAGTCAACTGCCACTGCAATGCAATCAGAGATGTCCACATCAGTCATGGAAACCACTACCACTCTGGCTACCAGCACAGCTAGAAGAGGAAAGCCACCTACGAAGGAATCAATTGTTCAGGTTAGTCAGCGGTGATTTCCTTTCTAAATGAGTTGGTTTTCTTTCTGGATTTCTAGCATATACTTGCCTTTAGAAGGTGAAAAAAATCTTCATGAAGCTTTAAGGTCATAGTCATCAGGCTATGGATGCGACATTGACTTAGACATAGTAGAAGGAGAGCCATGTTAGTGTATGGTATGCATATTTCTGATGAAGTGTGCTACAGCCCATGAAAGCTTATGCTTTTTAATGTTTATTAGTCCAAAAAGGTGCTACCAGACTTCTTTGGGTTTTTGGATATGCTGGCTATAGGAAGTGCATTCTCTGGGAAGCCATCATGTGATAGAAGTATGTCCATGCTAATATCCAGAAAATGATCAGGTTTCCTTTTCCTTGTATTAGTTTGAAAAGAGCAGATAGCAACAGGATTAAGAAATTTGTACTTTAAAACAGCATCTATCCTAAAATTAAACATTTGGACTATTACATTATGAATGTAATTAAAAAAAGCAGAATTTTGACCTTTTGGAATTGAGCAAAATTAATAAATTTACCTTGAGTGCCTTAGAAATTAGGAATGATAGTTCTACTTGCTCCTTGTTAACATTAACCTTTTAAAATGTCAGATTAATGGCCTGTCCAATCCTTAGGTGTCTCCCAAGCTTTCCAATTGTTTGTGTCCTTAGTCCTTCCCAGCTTAGATACTTAACATTTCTTGCATATTGTATGTCCAAACATACATATAAAATGAAATGTGGGTTGTTACACAGATTGTAACAAGACATAGTTAAATTTCCAAACATGAAGCAAGTAAGACTCTAGATGCAAATGTTCCTATTAGTTTACTAAGTGTATCCTCAATTTGTTTTGGCACCCTGTGAAGTTTGGGTCTAGTTTGAAATGAGCTCAATTCTGTACCATCCCATCTTTCCAGTTGTCATTGTCAATCTAAACTACCCTGTTAAGGTGATGTCCTTGTGGAAATGTGACTGAGTAGTATGAGCTATTGGTAAAATCATACTGTGTCTTAACACATGTTGAGACTCTTCAGAGTCATCCAGGCATCCTCACTTTCAAGAGTATATAAGATGAGGGTAAGAAGCACTGTTTGAAGGCAATCAGATTCAGTGAGCATGCTCTGAAATGACTTATTCCCCAGAATGTGTGCAAATGAAAGTTTGTAACATTTTCTTGCAGTTTAGAATAATCTTCTTTGGTCACTTTCAGCATACTCTATTTCCCTTTTTCTCCAATTAACACTGAGCATTACACAGTCACTATGCACACTTAGTACGTCTTAGGCCATTTTTGTAAGGGAGATGGATTATTGTGCTGCTGTCCTGTCCCCCACCCCACCCCCAATTCTGAAAATCATGAATCTTCCACTTGAATGTCAATGCTTCCTTCTCGATCTGTATTATTATCTTATCTGGTTTGAAATAATCCAGATAAACAGACAGACAGGATAAATGGTTTCTGGATAATTGAAAATTCTGACACCTTATTGCCTTCTAGTGGGCATTTGGATTTATGTAGCCCAAATATGTTTGTCTTACCTCTTGGCTACATAATTGTCATGAAATTGTCACTGGAATTCACCATCTATATGTATAACAATTACATCATTATTGCAGCATCAATGTATCTGTATATTAATGTTATGCAATATAAATTGTAGTATTTGAGGGAACTGGCAACTATCAAAGGCTATAACGAAGGTGAGTAGGAAGGCATTTTAATTGTCCAGTTCTAAAGGTAACTTAAATCTGAACTTTCAAATTTTGTTCTTTCAGTGAAGTCTAAGGCAGATGGCTTTTGTGTGAGATAACTTTCATTCCATTCTATATCAGATTTCCTGAAACATATGCAAGTTAGCTAAAACTTTTATAACTGTTCTTTATGATGAACTGAACATATAGAATGTGGTGGTGGTTTCCTGAACCTTTAATGTTTCAGGGCAACAAAGAGATTGTCAATGTTTTACAGCCTTTGTTCTTGTATTTATATATTTTATTTGGCATACAAAGATGGAACAAGTGAAGTTTTCTTCTGGAATATACCAACCAGTCTTGTCAACAAAGTGGCTGTATCATGTACTTTAAGAGGTGGTACTAGAGCCAGTTTGGTGTAGTGGTTAAAGCATCAGGCTAGAAAGCGAGAGACTCTAGTTCTAGTCCTGCCTTAGGTATGAAGCCATCTGGTTGACCATGGGCCAGTTACTCTCTCTCAGCCCTTGGAAGGAGTCAATGGCAAACCACTTTTGAAAAGTGCTGCCAAGAAGACTGCAGGGGGCAGTCACCAGGAGTCAAAAATAACTTGAAGGCAAAACTTTTTTTTAACAACAACTAGATTATTGAGGTTTATATTAGTTTTTATTTTTGATGGTGTGATTGCCAGATTTGCCTGAAACCTGAATAAGAGGGGCAACAAAACAAAACCAAAAAAAAAAAAGGTTGCAGTGTGAAGTGTTTCAATTCTAGCCAATCAAGCATAGCCATGTCCTTTGTAGAACAGGTCGTTCTGTTTCTCATCTTTTTCTTTTATTTTCCAGAAGATACCTTGCTTTCTCTAGCCATAGATTTTGCATAGTTATAACTGGGCTGCCTTGTTGCTGCTCCCTTGTTATTATTGTTATAATTTTATTTAATAGTAAATCTGCACTCTTTGGTTGTCCAAAGCCTCTACTGTAGGTGGCTGATGGGGTTTTAGTTACAAAGGGACTTGCACTTGGAAAATGAGTTCACTACTAGTGTGTTTATGCAATCAAAACTTGGATAAATGTTGCTCCAGAGATGATAATGCTAAATAAATATTTGGCTTTAATGTCAGCAGGTTTTGGGCTCCTAATTCCCCTTATCTCCCCTCTTTTGTTCCTAGCCTGCTAAAATATATCCCACAATTAGACCCTTTGATTTTTTTAGTGGCTCCTGTGCTGAAATAATTACAACTTGAAAAATAGACATAGTTAACAAGTATCCCTTTTTAAGCTTTCACCAGAACTTGAGACACATTTTATTTGTTTGCTTGCTTTGTTGTTAATGGCACTAGGAAGTTGTAATCACATCAGAAGGATTAAGGAAAGTTAGCAAGAATGTGGAGCTAAGTAAAAGATTGTGAAAGTGGATGGACATTGAAAGTAATGGGTTTTGATAGAAGAGTTTTAAGTTTGAAATGTTAGTGTAGTGCAGTTGAAGATACTGGTAGAAATAATAGAACTGGATGAAAAGAAAAGTGGGATCATGCAACAAAGGCAGAACTGGTTGGACCTGCTGGGAGAACCTTGGTCTGGAGTATGAGATGAGACAAACCATAGCTGATAGCAGTAATCTGGAGAAAGCTTGTTTTAGATTTCTCTAACCACCTGAGGAAGTCACATGGTTGCTCTGTGATTATGTTCATCTTTGTGGAAAAGAACTGTTGATGATGAGGACTTGTTCTTACAGAAAATGTGAACAATTGGACAAGATATTCTGGCAGTTAGGATGATGTAGAGAAGAAAGAGAAAAGGGAGGGTGAAAAATGGAAGGTTGCAAGAAGTAGACTCTGGGAGACAAATGGAGTGTAGAGAGTATAGAGAATAGCTTTGACAGGGAGAAGGAAGATCCATTGTCAAGGCAGCAAACAGATAAACATGGGTTAAGCCTATAGAATAAAAGAGATTTATGAAAATGCCCAAGACAGGCACCCCTAATTCACGTAATATATGAAGGAAGGAGGAGGGGAAGCACATTAAGATTTGCAGTATTCTGTTATTGCCATTCTTAATAAGATTAGTTTTAGGCCTATGTATTGTCTCTTTATTGATCTGGTCTACCTTGTAGGTCTGACATGGTTGGGGGGAATCCATGGGTAAAAGATTGAGAGGGGTGGAGTGTTTTTTCTTGAGATGAAGATCAGCAATACATTTCTCCTAGACCCACATAAGAGGGTCTTGGAGGGCAAGCAGAGTGGGTAGTTGGTTGGCTGGTTGAAAAATGTGGGTGCTAAAAGATTGCTGGGTGACAGGCTCAAGCTTCTTAGGAGGGAGGTGGTTGTTTGGGCAATGTACAAAGATATAAGAAGGATTGATTTATTGAGTCTTGGTATAAATCCACAAATGAATGAGATTGTTGATGGGAACCCTTGCAAGCACTGTGGAAGGTTGTGGGCTTTGGAAAAAGATGGGAGTATAAAAGAAGGGATCAGTATAGTGATGGGCAGAGGACGAATAGCAGGAGATGGGGGCACACTCTCAGTGAAAGAAGTTTGGGTGCTTGAAACCAATCCCCATTTACATTTCCTTGTCCTCAAGCCAGAAGACCTGTTTTTGATCTCTGGCTGTTTTTGCTGAATGCCAGATCTTATCCATGGATGAGAGAGCAAACCTGGCCTATATTACTAAAGGGTGAATAAGGAGGTGTTCCCCTTTACAAGGTGTGCCAGCTAGCACAGGAGAGGAAGAGTAGCAGTTGTCATCTGGGAAACTCTGATAGCATTTAGAGGCACTGTTCCACAGATAACCAGATGTGAGGCTTCTGGGACAAGTTGGTACTGCTGTTACTGTATTGTCCCACTGCTGCCTGGCAGTATCCCTGTCTGGGCTGCTGGACCTCATCACAAGACCGGCAGTGAAGTTTTCTGTGCAAATGGTGCTGGGGGACATCAATTTGTCTTCCATGGTGGAGGGGGGATCAGAACTGCCCAGAAGTTCATAGCCACCACAGATCTGTTTCAGATCATCAAAGGCCTAATTAATATAAGATGCCACACATTAGATCTGGATTTTGTTTTAGGGCAGATGCAGTGTGATGTGAGGGTGGAGGATATAACATTTATCCTTTGTTGTGGTCAGATCACACTCAGCTTTCTATGGGGTTCACTCATGCTACCAACTTCAACAGAGAAAATAAACCAATTTGATCAGTCCATCCCAGACATCTAATGGAATGACTTGGTTTCCAGAAAACACTTTCTGAGGCTCTAGTGGACACTTCTGCTGAGATTTTAATCACCTCTTGGAACAAGGAGGAAATAATGACCTT